CTGGCCCCAGTTTGTTGGTGTTTGCATTTGTGTGAATATGCGTCTCTCTCTGTGCACTTGTGTGAGTGCCTGCTTGCTGTGTGGATTCCTGTATTTATTTGTCATTTTGGACACGGGCTGGCTGGGCTTGCTGGGCTGGCTGGTGGGGAGTTGGGAGGGGCTCAGCTGTTGGAGGTTTCAAATAGAGCCTGTTTCAGGCAGAGCACAGCTGCTGGAGACTGTCACATTCCTTCTTGAGATCTAGTCACAAAACCTGGGAGTCGCTGATCAGATTTCCCCCCCATTCCCAGAGTCTGACTTTAACCCGGGATGGGCAGTGCTCCTTGTCAGGCAACCGGCATGGGCAGAGTCCTCCAGGGACCTGCTGCTTTGCAGGGGCTGCCCGAACCAGAGCACTTGGAAGCTGCTTTAGTCTAAATAGCTCATGGATGAACAGACCTCTCCACGAGCGGAGAGTGGGGTTTCCCCTGGAAGCTCAGCTCACTTAGTCATTCCCTGTAATGAGAGCCTGCAGTCCCTCTGCTCCCTGCCTTCTCAGAACCGCCTCTCCTGCTGCGTGCTCTGCCTGGGAGATGGCTGGCAACCACCCCTGGGAATCAGGAGCCCTTGCTAGGGGAAACCCATGGAAGCCCATATCCCGGGGGTGTGGGGTGGCACCACATGTTTAGTGCTCCCCATGGTGGCTCTTAACGAACCAGCTTTCCTAAGAGTAGATGCTCTGAGCATGGGATCCATGGTCGTTTGTCTGAATGTGTTGGGAGGGTGGCCACCAGGCAGGGATGACGGACGGAGTACTCATGGGAAGAGGCTTTCCCAGGGAGGGAAGCGGGACGTGGTGGCAGGGTGAGATGACCTCGGGTGTGTGAGTCTCCCACTTCGAAGACAGTGGTGATGGCTCCCCGGGGACAGTGGCTCAGAAGCTCCTGCTTACCTCAGCTGGTGAGGTGGCCACTTCCTGTGTACTTTGGGTACAGGATTGGAACAACAGAGTGTTTAACGAGGCAACTGTCCCTGTCTGCCATGGAGGCAAACAGGATCATATCAAAGAACGGGACCAAAGCTGGGGTTCCAGCTCGGCCACTGTTGTGTGACAAGTCACGTGCAAATCCCTTCCAGCTTCCAGGGGGGGATAGTGGGTCAGATGCGCTCAAGGCTCTCCATAGCTCCTCTCATTGAGAGGGGATCTGCTGTGGCTGCTTGCGATGACCGAGGAGAGAGATGCTGTCTTCCTCTGTAGTCTAACTCTGGCTCTGGAGTTAGGAGAAAAGTTCCACAAAGCATCTGGGTCTGATTGGAGACCATCTTCAAACACGAGGCAGCTGTTGGGGAGAGGTGTCAGTCTTGGGGGTGGGTGGGAGATGGACTTTGGGACAGAAGAGCTTGGAGAGGGTCAGGACAGATGAGTGGCTCTCCTTGGCTGGAGGTCTTGCGTGCTTGCCTGGCTCGGATGGTTCTGCAAGCCAGAGGCCAGACCAGGTGCCCAGTCATTTCAGGTGATCCTGCATCTACGGCGGCCATCTCTGCTTAAGTGGCTGATAGTCTGCAACCTGTGCCTTAGCCAGCCCCGAAGTTCTCTGCTTTATCTCACAAGGTTACACCTTTCTAGGCATCTGCCCTTGGCTGATATCTGCCGCTGGGAGAGTAATTCACCACGCAGGCCCAGGTGGCTGGGAGAAGAGCAGTGTGGCAGGTACCCTGAGCGTGCTCAGAGCTGTTGCAGCAAGGAGCCAGTGTGAGGAGGTTGAGAAATGGGGACAAAGTGCTTCCCAGCTCCCACCCTCACAGGCTGTAGGCGATGGCACTGGAAAGAGGGAGGTTCTACTGAGAACGGGAGGTGGAAACCTAAGCAGGGAGGGGGCTGCCTCCCAGGCCCTCAGGTACTAGGCTGTCTCTGAACTGAATGGGACTCTAGTTTGTTCCCTCCTGCTTGCCTTCCTTCTCCCCCATCTCCCCCACCCTTCTCTGTTCCTTCTGCCTCTCTTCCCTCTCCTCCTCATCCTCCCCCACCGTCATCTTCTTTAGTGGATGAGTAGTTTCCTTTCTGGAGACCTAGACAACAGGAAAGGTCTAGGGATTCTGCTTGGAAGTCTTGGTGATCCATCTCTACCTTCCAGACTCCCTCTAACTGCTAGAGCCTCACAGGGTTAGGGTAATGAGGATTTAGGTGCTTTTCTTACTGTGTTCTCTATTTTCTTCTGGAGCTGGGTTGGCCCACACAGCTCTGTTGCCTTGAGCTGACAGTAATTCTCTCTCTACTAGGAGAGCCTGGCCTGCTCTCCCCCCCTACACCCTGACAGAGCATCAGGCCTTAGCCTGTGGCTGCTTGTGCAGGAAGTTCGATGTGCTGGGCGGGAGAGTGGCTGTCTGTTTCCATGGATTTTGCACAGTCTCCACTGGCTTCCCCATCCCTGACCGAGGGATCCACCTGAGTTTCGCCTCTGCCCCTTGTGCCTCCCGCCCGACTTCTTTTCTTTCTGCTCCTTTCTGATACCCCCGCCTGTCCTGTCACTAGGACGATGGTCACAGACACAGGAGCCCCTGTCTGCTCCCTTGGTGGTCTTTTCTCACATCTTTTTGTATTTCCTTCTTTGGACCAATCAGTGAGCTGCCACCCAAGGGGACTATTCCTACTGGGCACCTAGAAGGGGTCTCTGATGAATACTCTTCAGAGAATGGTGGCTACTAGGCCAGGGCCACTTTGTTGCCCATCTCTTTCCTGGCCCCACAGAGAACAGAGAAGCCCCTCCAGCCTTCAGCTGAAAGGACTGATAGTATTCTAGGTTTTATTTTTGGACCTTGTAGGGTGTGTGTGGGGAGGTGGTAGCCACAGCTTCACACTGTAGGTAACGCTCTACTGAGCACATCCCCAACACCCCGAGAACCTCAGTTCTGATCCTCTGCCCTCCTGAGAAGAGAGGTCCTGGCTGCAGAAGGGCAGAGAGTACTGGGCTGGACGGGATGGGCAGCCCTGCCTTTTCCTTTCGGGCCCAAGGGCTACCCGATGTTAGGCAACTGGTCGCTGGAGCATGGGTTTCTGGTGGGTTTGGGGGGCACCAGTAACTGTGATTTCAGGCATGCTGGGGTGGTAGGAATAGGGCAGACCCTTGGGTGACCCCCTGCAGGATGCCTGCCCTCCCCCCGGAATGTGAAGGCTGGAGACTTGATTTAAAAAAAAGCACTTTGGCTGTAGGCAGTAGCCACGGGCCTCAGGTCTGTAGTTTATTGCCACAGGGCATACTGGCTGTGCCAGCCCAGGGAGGGCAAGCGGATCTGACAGCGTGAAACAGCCACAACCCTGCCCCATGGTGACCTTTTATTTATATTCTTTGTGGACAGTGAGCAAATAAGTCAAGCTTTGTAACCTATACGGCTACTGCTGAGTCGTCTATGCCTTCCTTTGCCTGTCACCCCACTATTTATAACTGTCCTGGGGACAGGCTTCCCTTCCCCACAGGCGGTACTCATGGGTGCTGGGCACTGAGACAATGGCTGGGCATTTGTCTCCTGAATAAGTTAATTAGAAAGCTACTCCATGGCCTTTTATTCCCCCTATTTAGCTTCCAGGAAGGAGGATATATGAAGCCATCCTCAAAAGATCCTCTTAAAAAAATTAGGTAGAGAAAAACAGAACAAAATTTGAGTAACCTGTGTTGTGATTCTGAGGCTCCAGTGGAAATGTGAAGTCAGAGCAGAGAGCTTAGGTCCCGGGCCAGTTGTTTATGAAGCACAGTGAGGGAACAATGAGGCGTGTGTGTGTGTGTGTGTGTGTGTGCGCGCGTGTGCGTGCGTGTGCTTGTGTGTGTGCGCGTGTGGGTACGTGCGCGTGCGTGTGCTCACGCTTGTGTGTGTGTGCGTGTGTGTGTGTGTGTATGTGCATATATGGTTGTGAGTGTGGCTGTATATTGATACAGTATTCCCTTTCTTTGCTCAGTGACAGGACACTAGAGCATTTATTGGTAGTTGTTTTTCTTTCAGAACCCCAAAGCGAGCGAGCGAGAAAGCAGAAAGCCATCAATTCCTCTTTAAATCATGAGGGTGGGTAATTCTAAGACTGCACTGTTCTCAGGAGCTGTGGGGAGGAAAATTCTAGTGCCTTTTCTTGTGAGGGAAGTCCGGAGGAGGCTAATGGGTTTTCAAGGCCCCCTCCCCTTGTCATTCCACCCCCAGGTGCTCTGGAGTCAGGGGAGGCTGGGGGCAGGGACCACACTGTTTCTGCCCGACACTGCTCCTGCGTGAATCGTTGCTGAGTGACAGGTGAGGGAAGGCGAGGACCTTTTCTTAAGTACCGGATGACTTTACACCCAAGAGTCCCAGAAGTAGGTGGTACTGGAGGCACCCTATGCAGATGAAATCTCTCACTAAGCTAACGCTGCCAGTGGGCGTGGTATTGAGATAAGAACCCTGCCCTTTTGACTCTTGAATTTAAGCTCTTCTGTGCCGGTGGCAGGATGCGTTGCTTGTATTTCTGTGTGTGTTTCCACTGTGGCGTTTCAGTGCAGAACCTTGTACATATTTAGGTAAGCCCTCCGCTGCTGACCTAGCTCCCCAGCCCAGATTGCTTCTTATATTCTCTCAGCATGTGCTGTATTGTAGCATATGCACACGTGGGGGTTGGGGGTCAGCGCTTTTTTATTTTGTGGCAGGGTCTCTCACTGAACCTGGAACTCACTGAGTCAGCTAGTAGAGAGGCCTATGAGCTCAAGACACAAGCGCTTGTGTCTGCCCTCACCTGTATCTCATCTACCCCTGCACCCTGGCTTTGTGTGGATACTGGGGATTGAACTCAGATCCTTGTGCTTGTAAGGAAGAGGTTTGACTGACTGAACCAACCATCCCCCCATGCCCGACCCCTGATTTATTCTTTTTTTTTTTAATTTTATCTTTTAAAGAAAGAAAACAAACTATCTTTTTTTCCATTTTACATACCAATCCCAGTACCTGCTCCCTCCCCTCCTCTCATTCCCTTCACCTTCCCCCACCTCACCCCCTATCCATTGCTCAGAGAGGGTAAGGCACATTGCTTTGGGGGAAGGTCCAAAACCCTCCCTACTGTATCTAGGCTGAACAAGGTACCCTGATATATTCTTAGAAAGCACAGATCAAGGTCTATGGGCCAGAGACTTGAGATACAAAATGTTGGGGCAGGAGAAGCTTGACCAAGAGACAGGCCGAAGGGCTTGATTGGAATGGAAGTTGCTGGTGGAGGGACCCAGAAAAAAGATTCTTCAGGACAACTAGGACCCCAAGAGTAGGCAGCCTGGGGTCAGGGTGAGGTTGTGGGCAGGCCCATGGCGGGTCTTTGAGATGTTTCCTCTCTGGGGTCAGGGTGGACCTGGATAAATTGTGAGGGTGTCGTTGTGGAGATCACAGGGAAAAATGGGAACTTACCTTGTCGAGGCTTGTGGTAGGCGTCTACCATAGCACCATTGCCGCCTGAGAGCCAGTGGGGCCCCAGAGTATCTGTTTTACCTTGTTCCCTGTGCCCTCTTTTCTTAGTCATCTTCTTTCTTTTCCTGTGCTGGCTGCAAGGTGGTAATAGGGAGTGGGGCTCAGTATCGTATATCTAATGCTTCCCAGCGTGGTCCCCACAACGGCTCAGGACCATTACAACCCACTGGGAGAACCACTAGACCCTCTTCTTAGATGGTTCTAGGATGAAGTTCAGGGCTCTGCTACACTATTAGCTTTTTCCTTCCTTCCTTCCTTCCTCCCCTTCCTCCCCCCCCTCAACCCAGAGAATCTCTGAGGGTTTCTCTATTGTTTATTGTAGTGTTTTTCTTTCTTGAGTCCATTTCCCTTGCTCTCTGTCTGTGCCTTTGTTTGGTGCAGTCAGCACCATCTGTGCTAAAGAGGACCTGCTCTGCCTTTAAGGAGCCCCAAGGAGGTACTGGCACTTGGTGCTTCTTGCTTGTTTTGTGATCGTTCTTAACTCGCTCAAACTTAACAAATGCACTCCTTTTCTGCCACCAGGCCATGTTCCCCGACAAGGACTGGCTGAGCCATTGTCCTTAAAGCCACGTTCCCCAGGGGTATCCTGTGGGCAGTCAGACAGCCAGACAACATTGATCCAGGGTGGACGGTTTATGGTGCTGGTCCTTGGGAACACTATGAGGGAGACATAACTCGGGCTGGAGTTATTGGGGACTCCCCGTAGAAGGTGGGGTAGTCACTGAAGGATCAGAGTGGTAATGGAATTCAGTTTTGAGGGTGAGAACTGTAGGCAGAGGGGATGGAGTGTGTGGGAAACAAAACGGGTCACTCAGGGTATTGTGAGGATGCCCTAGGATGTATGCACAAACGCAGATGGGAGGAAAGAGAAAGTTGTGCGAATTGTTGGGGGCTGTGCCGCGTCCTGAGAGGTTCTGAGCAGGGATCAAAACACTCCTGCCAGGGCTGTGGGCACAGTAATGGACTCACAGTGAATTGAGCCCTGAAGATCCGGGGCTTCTTTCCCCCTCGAGAATGATCTTACCCGTTTATGGCCTGGTGTGGCAGTTAAGGGGTCGGAGTCTACATTCATATCTTAACTCAGCAGCGTACTAGTGGTGGGGAGTTTGCTGAACCCTGAGCCCATTTCTTCAGACGGTAAGAGGGAGTCCCAAACGCTCCCTATGCCATGGCACCCAGCATCTCTCTGCAGTGTAACACTACCGCAGCACGCAGCCTCCTCTGTGAAGCACAGCCCCTAGCACTCAAGATGTCTGTCTGTACTGGAGTGCCTGGCACTCTCCCGCGAGCATGGTGCCGGTAACTTCGCCCTGTTGAATAGCCCAGAGCCCAGAGTTAAGCCTGCATTGACCCTCAGCAGCTGCCTGCTGGACGGCCAAGCTGGATACAAGTACCCAAGTCACCTGTGCATGCTTTCCAGATGGCGGTGGAGAAGATGGGATTCTAGTTAGGGGAAAGATCTCTGGAAGAGCTGAGCACCTGACGACCCTGTCCTCATTTTCAAACAAGTGACACCAGTGTTACTGCTGGATGAATCTCAGTGTGTAAGTGAGAGGGAAGGTGGGACTGTCATGGCGGCCCGGCCTGGCCTTCTAGAGTCTCCTTACTCAGGGTTGGCAGTCTGTGTCCTGGGCATAGCTAATTGGGTGTGGACGTCCAAACAGGACAGGTGGAGAGAACACAAAAATAGACCCACGGGGCCAGGCCAGAGACCAAGGGAAGATCTGGCAGGAAGAGGCTGTGGGCTCTAGGGAAGGAACCAGTCAGGAGGCTGGACAGAGCCAGGCCAATGACGAGCGCTGCCTCTTGCCCAATGTGCCATCAAGAGAAGGCAGTTTCCCTTCAAGACCCGATAGAGGGGTGCTTAGCAGACCATAAAAGGCTCTCCTGCCTCTTTCACCCGGCTTAGAACACTAAGGCCATGCTCCTGGCCAGGCACCAGGGGGCACCAACAGTAGTTGGGTAGAGGAAGCTATGTCGGGGAGCCATTCTTCCCACTCCAAGGCCTGGTCCCAAGATACTGGAGCTGTATTCTGAACAGAGCCTTGGTGATACCAAAGGAATAACATGCAAGTGATGTGTGAAAAATATGCAGATTGCTATCTGTTATTGTGGAGGCGGCTCGTTGGGCATTTTTCTTAAAGGATAAGTGTCAAGTAAGCATGAATGTTGGCTTAGATGAAGCTTCTTGCAAGGGCTATGTGGACAGTGTCTGCAGCTGCATGGACTGGTGTCTGTACCTACAGCCTGCAGGTTCTGCATCTCCCAGGCAGCATGTTTAAGGCCAGTTCTTTGGTGTTTAGCTTGGAGAATTCCAAACTATGAACACCTGGCCCAGGGTTACCAGCAAGATCAGCCGATCTCCAGAGCCCCTTCCCTGTGGGTGGCTTGGAGCTGGAGGAGGCTGTGGGGAGGCAGGAAGAGCTGGCTGCCCTGGGTCCTAACTGCCGAGTTACCCTACGGGCCATAAGTCAAACTCTCTGAGCCTCAGTTTCTCCACTTGTAAAGGGAAATACTGGCATTTGTAAACAGGAATACCAGCCCAGTGGGAATCACACTTGGGAGCAGATGAATGGCCAGCACCGTGCTGACACCTCTCCCAGGCCGGCGATCCCTCCTGACGCCTTCGCCTGAGCTGCCAGCTGAGGTTCTACTAGCAGGGATTTCTGCTGGGCCCTCTCCCCCTTGGTTTCTGATTTTAGCAAGCTGGAACTTAGGCATTTTTCCTCTGCTGACTTAGCAGATGCTGACTTTGCACAGAGCTCCTACACATGGGGACATCTGAGCTGCCGGCAAGGCTATGGTTCTCATCTCGAGAGGGTAAGGTGCTGTTTTGGTCAGGCCACTGTGTTTGTGGGGGGCTCAGAGCTGGAGACCATTGGTCAGAGGACTTTGGAAACCTTCTATGGGGAGAACCGGGGTGTCCCTACCTTGGGTGGCATCATACCTGCCTGGACTGGTCCAGCTCCACTAGCCTGGCTGGGCATGCCCCAGCCCAGGCCCCACTTTGGTGAGGAACACAGTATGGGGACTATCCTTCAGGACCCCAAGGCTCAGAGAGGGTGTGCAGGTTCCCTGAGAGCACCCAGCATTGTAAGTAGCAGAGGCACAGCCGGGATCCAGGAATTCCAGTTTCTGTCATGCTCCTTCTCCAAGCATTCCAGGTTCTAGGAGTGAAAAGGGTCGAGTCCCCGAGGCCTAGGGATCCCTCCCCACCCAGCAAGCACATTGCTCTCTCTGTCTGAAAGTGCTGAGATTTCCCTGCAGACTGGCAACAGTGACTGCTGAACCGAGGGCTTCGCACAGTGGAAGGTGGGATTTTAAATCTTCTTGCTGAGGGTAGAGGTGGGGACTGAATGCAGGCTGGGCTGGGACAGTAAATCACTGCTCTGCTCGAGGCACCGGGCTCCTTTCTCGTGCCCAGGATGGCAAGGAGAAAACAAGTCGAGTGAGCGAGCCAGCTGGACGGGCATGGTCCCTAAGGGGCTCTTGTTCTTGGCAGTGGTGATCTTGGCCTTTGATGTCTCTTCTGAAAGTCATGGCCTTGTGACGTTAGGAGTTCCTTCATTGGTCCATGGTTCCCAATCCTCCTTGGTCCACGCTGTTGGCAGCGATCCTGAGTTCCCTGAAGAGTGAAATGGATGTGAACTGGGAGCCAGTCTTAGATGGAAGCCGAGTCTGGGGAGTTTCCTCATAGGCAGGCGACTTCATAGACAATGCTTGTCCCAGCAGCGTGAGAGAATATGCTGCTGGCTTAAAATGGATGTGACCATGGGAATAACACCAGAGCCACCGGGATGGCTCGGAGGATAAGGACACTTTCTGCCAAGTCTGATTCTCTAAGTCCAGTCCCCAGGACCGACATGGCAGGAGAGGAGAACCATAAGTTGCCCTCTGATGACCACACACACTCCCCTAAATAAGTAAATAAATGTAATTATTTATCTTAGATTTAAAAAAATCTAAGTGGATAGCCATGTCTAATTCGGTGGTGGAAAAGGGAGACAGAACAGGGAGAAGATAATAGTGTCTCTGAAGGGTCTACTCTCTGCCTCCATACACCTCCCTAGCGCCTCGCGACAGCGTATGAGGTGGACATCATCGGCCCCTCTTCAGGAGGGATGTGGTCTTGCTAGAGCACCAGAGCTGAGCCTTGAGCACAGGGCAGAGTGACTGAAGGGGGGGGGGG